GTGTGTGTGTGTGTGTGCCGGACCACAGTTGTGTTTTTCCGACTCCCGGCGTTCCACAGATTTCTGTTGTTTTGCCGACAGGAATTCCGCCGCTGAGTGCAGCGTCCAGTCGAGAGGAGAAGGTCACGATGCTCCTCATCTCCGCCTCCTTCTGCAGGAGCTCCAGAGCAGTGAGAGAGATCGAGCACCCCCCGCCTCCACTCCTCACAGCCTGCAGCACCTCCAGCGCCTCCTGCTGGGACAGACCAGCCTCTGCAACATAAAGAAATCAGTAACTAAGATGTTTATACTGTTTCATATCAAATTATAATGTTTCATGATGTGAACGTTAAACTTTATAAAGTGACAGACTTTCTACATCAAGCTGTCATTAGTATTATTATAGTTTATAGCTGACAGTGTGTAAATATACATCAAACTAATAGTGAGTAACTCGTGTTGCATTAAAGAAGCTGTGTGAAGTAAACAGTGTTGTTTACCTTGGCTGAGTTGTGGCGGGTGAAGGTGCAGGAGGTCAGAGGTGAACCGGAAACCAGCGGAGACTAGTTTCACCTTCACATTAAGACTTAAACGTAAACTGGACACTGAGCGAAGCATCTTCTTCTTCTTCTTCTTTAATGGCGGCTGACATCTAAAGTTCAAGGTGCATTAGCGTCACCCACTAGAGCGTTGGGTCTGTGGAAATACATGAAAACAAATGAATATTTCTCTTCCTCAGATTGTTTAGGTTGAACTCTTCTATTACTCAGCTGCTTCTGTAGCTTTTCTCTGTCTGGTGTTCCAGTTTCTTCCTTATGTAAAGTTTGACAGTATTAAGTGTAGTCTGAACCTTCCCTCTGCCGTCTGCTCGCCGTCTGCTCCTCTTCTGCTCCTCCTCTGCTCCTCCTCTGCTCCTCTTCTGCTCCTCTCCTGCTCCTCTTCTGCTCCTCCTCTGCTCCTCCTCTGCTCCTCTTCTGCTCCTCTCCTGCTCCTCTTCTGCTCCTCCTCTGCTCCTCTTCTGCTCCTCTTCTGCTCCTCTTCTTCTCTTCTTCTGCTCCTCTTCTGCTCCTCTTCTGCTCCTCTTCTGCTCCTCTTCTGCTCCTCTTCTGCTCCTCTTCTTCTCTTCTTCTGCTCCTCCTCAGCTCCTCTTCTTCTCTCCTTCTGCTCCTCTTCTTCTCTTCTTCTGCTCCTCTTCTGCTCCTCTCCTGCTCCTCTTCTGCTCCTCTTCTTCTCTTCTTCTGCTCCTCTTCTGCTCCTCTCCTGCTCCTCCTCTG